GCCAATACCCCTTGTCAGGTGGCAAAAGACTATATTGGCCTCTGCCCATATCAGAAGGATATCGGTATGCCATGACTTGTGTGGACACGGCTACTGGACTACTGGTTGCTTTTCCTGCACGTCATGCAGATCAGCAAACCACCATGAGGGACCTGGAGCATCTTTTTGCAGCCTAAGGCCAGCCACAGTTTATTATAGAGAGCAATCAAGGCACCCATTTTACTGGACATGGCAGCAATTAGGAATAAAGTGGAAATTTCATGTACCATATAATCCTACTAGGACAGGCATGATAGAGAGGTACAACGGTTTGTTGAAATCTGGCCTGAAGTCAGACACCAATAGTCTATGGGTTGGTCAGTTCACCTATGGATGGTGCTGCAGCGTTTGAATGAGAAGCCACATAAAGGAGCTTTGAGCCCTGTGGATATGCTCACACACCTTGCTGCCTCTCCTATACATTGTACGTCCAAACCAAAGAAGAGCTATTGAAGCCAGGAAATGGCCAGCAGAGCAACATCCTGCTGTCAGCCCTTACTGCATTAAGCCCTGGAGACACTGGTGAATGGACCTGACCCTGGACATTTCAACACAAGGACCAGCAATGGCTGGCCCTTCTGGCACCTTGGGGGAAAGGCCTGGAAGCTGGCCTCATGTGTATTCTGGGAATAACAGCTAAATGGCCCCCAAAGGTCACGGTAGTGTACACGAAACGTCCAGGAGGTAAGAGCATCTTGCAGGGAAGTTTTGTTTTATCTTTATGGCCAGTGCATGTACCTCCCATAGCCCTATGTATCAACCCATTTGTAACTCCCACAGGGAGGAGGGTGAAAGTCTGGTATACTAGACCAGGACGAGATCCCATTCCTGCCACTGTTTTATCACAAGATCACTCTCTTGCATGTATCCTACATGATGGACAAGATTTGCCTATGCTGGTGTCATTAAAACTTCTATCTTATCTCCCTCAAGATTATTTTCTCCTACAGTCCTTGTGGCCTGAATGCACCCCCTGGCTGCCTGCCTATGGAATGGATGAGCTATGGACTTAATCTGCATAAGACTTTGAACCTAGCTGGATCCTCAGGCTTGAGGATTGTCATAATTTTATTGCTGTTGCTATTGTTATGTCATTAGTCTGGTCACAATGCTCCAGTTTTCTTGCCCAGGAACCATTGCGGAAGAAGGGGAACGAGTAGATTGTAAGGTGAGATTTTTGGAGGGGTTGCCTGTGGGCAAAATTGTAACATTTCCAGAGTATCTCACCTGGCTTTAGTGCATTTGCATATCCTCAGGGGTGGAGAGAAGTTCATCTCCATGTCAATGGGTAATTACTTGGGCAACCAAGGATGTGTCTGAACCTGAGAATTTAAGGGGAGAGGCTGGCTTGCCTGCTGTTTTGCTTCTTCAGGAGCAGAGGGCCCTAGACTACAGTTTGTAAGCAGTGAATGAGTTTTAAACTTTATTTCTCCCTTTGACTGATTTCGGTTTTTAGAGTTATTTTGTGCTGGGACTTTCTCTCCCCCGATTTACAGCTAGCAACACAGCCTCCCTCCAGCAGAAGACAATGTAGGCTGTAGCCTGTTAGTGGGGCCTGCCTTTGACGTTTGAAGAGGTCAGCAGAGCCCTGTCAGAAGTGCACTGTGTGACTGAGTCCCACAGCAACCTGGAGACTACATGGCCTTGGACATTTCAACACATGGACCAATGATGGCTGGCTCTTCTGGCACCTTGGGGACAATGCCTGGAAGCTGGCCTCTTGTGTGTACCTGGAGTAACAGCAGACTGGCCTCCAAAGATGACGGTAGTGTAACCAAAAAGACTGGAAGTCCTTGTGGCCTGGATGCGCCCCGTGGCTCCAGCTGCTGTGTGATGATTGCTCTGAATTCCCCACCTGTTTAGCTACTGCCTGCCTGTGGAATAGGCGAGCTAGGCACTTAATCTGCCTAGGACTTTGAACCTAGCTGAAGCCTGCAGCTTGATGATTATCATGATTTTATTGCTGTTGCTATTTATATTATTAGCCTGGTTACAATGCTCCGGTTTTCTTGCATGGGGCCATTGCAGAAGATGGGGAATTGAGGCGAGATTTCTGGAGGGGTGGCCTGTGGGTAAAATTACAATATTTCCAGAATTTCTTGCCTGGTTTAGTTCATCTACATATCAATAGGTGTTTCTGAGGGGTGGAGAAAATTAGTCCATCTCCATATCAATAGGTAATTACTTGGGTGAGCAAGGGTTTATCTGGGCTGGAGAGGTTGGGTGGAGCTTTCTCTTCTGCTGCAGCCTGGTCGAGAGAGATGGGACTTCTGCTTGTAAGAAATAAATGGGTTTCTTAAACTTTATTTCTCCCTTTGACTGATTTCGGTTTTAAAGGTATTTTGTCCCAGGATTTTTTCCCCCTATAGTTACAGATCCTTAGACCCATTGATGGGTAATTCTAGTTTGAAATCTTTCTCCACCAAAAATGCAGTGAAAAAAGTAAAAATGCTGTTCTTTTGTTTCTCTGTGTGTGTGTGTGTGTGTAGATTAGATTTTTGTCTTGAGCCTTTAAAGATTAAAAAGGCTAGCATCCAATGAAGAAGAATCTGATATTATTTTGTATATAGGAAACCAAATGATCATATATGTACCAGGAATCATATACTTCTTCAATTTTATCTTCAAAACAGTTTTATAGTGTTTATCCTGTTCCAGGTAATGGTTCTAAGTACTTTAGAAACAATGCTAATCCTCACAGTAACAGTAGGAGTTGGTCCTATTAACCCATTACACAGATGGAGAAACTCAGGCACCAAGAGATTAATTTGTCCAAAGTGTGAGATCTGAAATTTGAAACGAGGTAATGTGGCTCTAGAGTCCTATGCTCATTAACTACTGTCTTTTCAAACTAATTGAATTGACCATCCCTAATCCTAAAGCTATTCTGCTCTTCTGGTGAAAGTTCTTCTGGTTAAGGAGAGGCCTTTGGGGATTAGTTCCTCCATTCTTTTTTGATAGTTTCATCTATCAAGTACTCGATGGCATGGGCTCTATACCAAATACTTGAGTTCGGGTGGCCTATCTCAGGTTTTTCTATGTTAATTATCCACATAAAAATTACCAAAAGATAAGGAAATATGACTACTTTACATGTGTTTAGTGCTTTTAGAAATCATAATTAGTTGCATTTGATCTTCACACCAACTCTTTGGTTGGCAGGGCAAATAGTAGTACTTTCATTTCACAGGTGATAAAACAAGTTCAAAATGGTTAAGTGATTTCCCCCAAATCTCAGATGTTGAGCAACAGGATTAACATTCTAATCCAGTTCTCCTGACTCCAAATCCAGTGATCTTCCCTTTCTGTTAAACTCCTTTCCTGCAATCTGAATGTTGCTGTTACCTTGGCAGCAGTATAGAACATTAAGTGCCTGGAAACCATGGTACTGCCTTCTCTGTAGGCCCCAAAGTGGCAAGGTTCACATAGGTCTCACTAACTGCTAATCACTTTGTCAGATACCCTGCTTGCTGTGCTTCATCCTAACATTTGTCAAGCCTAGTGTCCTTGTCACCAAAAGTTCATGTATGAAGGGGTTCTTGGCAGATGGACAGGTATGATGTCTTTTCTGGTCCTGGTCCAGTCATTCTGTTTCTTTTAGTCCCAGGTATGGAGCAGGAAGCCTTAGAGACATGGAATGGCAGTTTGGAGTGAGGCTTTTCCTCCGCTTGGCACTATGACGTAGCCATTTGCCTCTGAGTGGCTCTTAGGAGGTGGATATTTGGCAGAGATGAAGGGCTTTTGCCTTCTGTTGGTTTGAAACAACAAACTGTGTTTACTGTGGTTTAGATAGGGAATAGTGTTTATTTTAGAGGAAATAGTCATGCCTCTGGGGCTTCCTTTTCATCCGGTTCTGAAGTTCTGAAGAGTCAGTTGTATAAAATTCTAAATAAACTTTAAATGCAAGGTCATTTAAGATTTTGTCAGCAGGTGGCACTTCTCTCCTTGGTCTCTCCAGGAAAAATGCTGTTCCTATTTCTTTGCTACTATCGAGTTCCTCAGACTTGTTTGGTTACCCAAACATTTCTCCTCAGTTCCCTTTTGCAGCTATTTAGTCTACAGTATCTGTTTGTGCACTCTGATTTATACCCTCTTTACACAAAGGATTTGAAATTGCTTACAACATACAGTATACAACAGTAAAATAGGAGAATATAAACTGCAATAAAGACTGTATAATTTGATTCTGAGTTGCAGGTAGCTGGAGCAAAACAAAAAACATAGATAGACAGATGTGAATAGGTATCCATACATACGTGGGTTTCATTACCAGACCTTTGGATGAATGGATAGGGATAGAGAATGACTTTTTTAGGATTTGAAATGAAAATGAATGTTGTCATCTAGTGTTAGTGGAGGCAAGTTTCTGTTGTGATCTCACCTGTCTAACCTAATTTATAAACTATTCCTAGTCTGTAAAAAGTAAGGAGTACTTCTGTCACCCTGCAGCTTGCCAAGGCTGCACAATCAGCATTCCTCAGTTTCTAAGCTTCATTTTTTCAAGATGCAGGCCTCACCCTTTCCATTCATCCTACACAGATTGAGCTCCCACTGTCTACAGGGCCTTCTAGGCATTGGGAACACAAGCATATTTATTAGGTAGGCTTGGGTGGTACTCAAATTGATTTATAATAAAATTCCCTTTTCTCAGTTTTTAAACTAGCTGGAGAAAGAAGACCTACTTTATACTCAATAAAAAATTAGAGAATTATGCCAGGCAATGTTATGATCAAATGCTAAATCTGTGGTTGTGTTGTTCTAGTGTTCTGCTTACTTAAAAACAAATCAGTAAACTCCACCAAACACAGTTTTCTAACAAAACCATCTCAAAACCGCGGCTTCCTTTGTCAGTTGGCAAGGAATGGCGTAGTCCTCAATAGCTGGGGTAGGCGGGGCGGGAGCCGGTGTGAGCGCAGGGCGGGGAGAGCCCCCGAATGTCCTCCCCACGGGCGAGGGGCTGCATGACGGAGCTGAACCTGCAGGACCAGCATCCCGCCCCGCCCATTGTCTGCGGCTCGGGCCGGGACTGGCGCGGCGGGGCGTAGGGGGCTCCAGGGAGCTAGGCCCTGGAGTGGGGTTCGGAAGTTGGGGCCCCGCTCCCTGCGCCCGCGGGCGACGCCGGCTTTGTGGCGCGAGCGGGTTCCACCACGGGCAGCGCGGCGGCGGGGACCGGCCGAGGCGTCCGTCGTCCCCGGCATTCTGCCCAGCAGCGGGCGCCTCTCCTGGCCTGCCCCGCGCGGTCGGGGTTCCCCGCGCGCACTAACAGCCGGCTGGACGCTTTCCTGCGGAAGCATCTGCCGCCCGAGGTCTACGACGCCGTTCGTGCCTACGAGTCATGCATCGTGGAGTCCGACACGGAGAGGCACTCCTTGAAGTAAGTGGTACTGAGCGACCAGCTCATCTACCTAACCGAGAACCCTCCCAAGTCCATCCGGCGAGTCGCGGCGCTGCAGGACATTGTGGCCATCGACCTGGTAAGGAGCGAGGGCGGGCAGGTGGGCTCGAGAGAACCCCCTTCTTGGGCCCTCCAATCCTAGCTTTCCTGTGCGCGGGGAAGAGGAGTGCCCCTCCAGCTCTCCCCGAACTCCCAGACTCTCTAAGCTTAGTGCTAGCAGCCACATAAAAAAGCTGGATTGTTGTTTGCACTCCGAATAAAGATGCCGTGCCGGTTCTCATCGTGTGTATCGGTCACCCCCCCACCTCCCGTCCACTCAAATAGGACTGTAGGTTTGAAAACATAGACCCCTATCAAAAATACGTTTTAAAGTTATTCCTTAGCTCATTAAACACCTAGCCTGTGGTAGGCACTGAGGAGGCAAAAATGAACTAAGGGCCCCTTTCTAGAAGCCGCTGTGGCAGAGACAGAGCCAGCACGAATGCAAATACATGCCATGTGATAGGTACTATGACTTTTTTTTTATCTCCAGTGTTTAGAGCATGTTAAGTGCTCAATATAAGTGAGTGCAAGAATGAATGCATTAATGCACTGTGCACAGGATACCTGGCAGTCTCAGACAGGTCACTTGATCCAAACTGGCTCAGGCCATGCTGGGAAAACTTCTTGCAGGAGATAGAATCTGGCACTGCCGCACCTTGTCCCAGTTCCTAGCATGCTGCTACTGTATCCCTTTCCTTTAGGAATAGATTTACTGTATAAATCAGCAACTGATTGGACACAGTCTCCTCTCCAATTACTGTTTATCCCCTCTTGGGCTCCCTTTGTCGGAGCTGCTCTCCAGGTGTGTTGTTCCTTTTTCCACTGGGGACAGGTGTCTAGCCTTGTTTTTTTTTTTTTCCCTTGTCTGAGTCTCTGTGTCCCCCAGGGGAGAGTTTGGGGAGACTCTTGATGGGGCTGTTTTGCCAAGAGAGTCATAGCTTGTTTGAAACACGTATGTAAGAAAATAATAAAATTAAATGAAAAAATAAATGCTTTTTCTACTTAAAACACCTCTGTGGGCTAGTGTCACTGCATATTTACTTCTTTGAGTAAAAGTTGGAAGCAAAATTGCCTTTTTCCTTACTACCACTATTTATATTCTTGAATAAAAAAATTTGATTTTCTTTACCAAATGTTTTTAACCAAACACTACATACTCAGCTTTTTCTAATGTCTGCAGTATAAACATTTATTTTGATGAAATGTAATGATTTTAGGATATTGTTACTCTTCTTAAGAGGTAGTATGTTTCAGTAGTTGTTTTATATCTTTTTTTTTTTGAGCTGTAAGAATCTGAAAAGTACAGTAAACCTTCCTAGGTTCTTAGGCCAAGAATCCTACAGAAAGTCATACCAGTTTATTTAGTCATGTCTTACATACAAAATTTACCTTTCAGACATATAGAAGAATGTGTAATGTCTGTAAAAGTGCTGAACAAATCTAAGATTTTGGCATTGTTGATAGACTGAATGTCCCTCTTGCACCATATAGTTTAACTTTGGTTCAAATTGTGGTAGGCAGAATAATAGCCCCCAAAAGAAATCCCTGGAACCTGTGAATATGTTGCATTACATGACAAAGGGTAATTAAAAGTTGCAGATGGAATTAAGGTTGCTTACTAATCAAATGACTTTAAAATGAGATTATTTAGATTATCTTCATGTGCTCAATGTAATCACAAAATCTTTAACTGTGGAAAAGGCAGGCAGAAGAGAGTGACTGAACTGGAGAAAGACTACTTGTTTTGATGGTGGAAAGGAGTCCCAAGCCAGAGGATGTGGGCAGCCTCTAAAATCTGGAAAACACATGGAACCAAGTTTTCCACAAGAGTCTCCAGAAGGAATGCAGTCCTGATTCCATGATTTTAGCCCAGTGTGACACATTTTGGATTTTAAACCTCCACAATGTAAGAGGATCACTTTGTGCTGTTTAATGCCACCAAGTTTGTGGTAATGTGTCACAACAGCAAATGAATACAGAGGTTATGGTGGGTAATCATTTTAGTTTCAGTGAGAGATAATCATGCCAAACAAATGACTTAATCTCTTATTTCTGAGTTTTTATAAAAGAATTCTAGAGTTATAGTTCAGTGGCTTATACTAAGCTCCTTCCGGTGTATGAAAACCGGGTGTCAAAGAATTGCTTTACCTCATACCAATTAATAGCCACAGACGTAGCTGACTAATCATCCCTCTGTGGACACTATGTCCTTACTTAAAATTACCACAATGTAGATAATCTTCCTGATTTCTGTGTTGTATCTCAAAGTCATCCTCCTATCCACTTCAATTACATGATTTCAGGGCGAGACAGCTTTGCTTTTTAGAACTGATTCCTTCTTCCTTGAAAGGTAAACTGCCTCCTTTTCTACTAGGTGTCGTCTTTTTAAGGCCAACTCTTCAGACATCCTTTTCCATTCTCATTTTCTTATTTTACTGCACAGGTCTCTCTGCTTGTTAGTTAACATACAGTTGTCTCTGGTCACCATTCTGCCTTTGTTCTTGCTGCCATGTCAATAAAGCCCCTAAGCAGACCAGTCCTTTATGCCTATGGGCCCCAGCCCTCCATGTTGCATGTCCGGCCACATTCCTCTACATAGTTCTAGTTACACAAAAAAAATTTCTCGAAAAAATTTGCAGATAGACAGGTAAAATTGCATTTTCTGTCCTAAAGAAAAAAATTGAAGGTAATAGCAACAAGAAGTTTGACCAGAACTTGGATTGGATCTGAATGAGATTTCTCTTCTAGCAAAGATAAGCTTAAAGTGCACGCAGAGGTCTCTGTAGGTGCTTGAGATGGTCATCTTCTCAAATACTTGCTAAGGTTTCTTGGGCAGAGCTTTTATAAAAGGATGGCAGTTTCGTTAAAAGTTACTTTTGAAAGAATTCTCTAGAGTTCTGCTCTTGGGTGCATCAAAACACTACTCCTTTAGCCCACCTAAGATTAGATACATAATTTTTAAGTGTGAGAACCAGCTACTCAGGACTGTAAATTTCCTAGGATTCACTTTCCTTCAGTGCCATCCCCTCACAGAAAAAAAATAAGCCATCAACTATAGCAGCCTTTGCCTCTGCCTCTTCCCCTCTGTCCTTGTCCTTTCACCACCCCTTGCAGTGAATATCTGCTCCCCAGCCATTCCAGGCTCCATACGGCTTCTTGACCAGGCAAAGAATGCCCCTTTTACAGCCTGGCCCGTTTGCTGGCCATGTACACTTCCTCCTCTTTCAAGGCTGTTCAGATCATCATACTTATAATTCTCCTCCTCCTCTTTCTATGTGTCCTTTTGAAAACAAAAACCGTTCTTACTTTGAACAGAAACAGGTCACAGGTTGCATGAGGGGGCTGCTGTAGCTTGTCAGCTGATCCCTATTTTCCTCCTTATGTATTCAGATCCTACACATTTTCTAGGCTAAGCCCAAGTAGTTCTTTCTCCAAATGCTTTCCCTTGACTAAGCCATGAAGGTGGGTCTTTGGTCCCTCTTGTTCATTGCCTTATCTCTGGTTCCTAGAATACTGCCTGGCACAGAGATGGTCAATAGATATTTGTTAAATCTTTAACAAAGTCTGTCTCTTCTGTTTCTGAATTTATTATCTGCAGTGTACATTGGGGAATTTCATAATATGTTTTTGCTTTTGCTTTTTACTTGTGTGGACTTGGTCAAGTTATTTAACCTCTACTCTGTGTCCATTTCCTTATCTGTGAAATGGAGGTGAACAGCACCATCCTTACAGAGAGTTCTTGGGAGGATTAAATTCATTAATAGATGTAACACACTTAAAATAGTACTTGGCACATGGGAAGAGTTACATACATGTTATTATTAATAGCCTCTATTCATTTAAAAATTTTTTAAAGTTTTATCAAATGTACATCACAGTGGTTCAAAAGTCCCTCCCCCCTTCCCCACTCCCCTCCCCCTTGGTAACCAGTAGTCACTTCTCAGTGTCCAAGAGTCTAATGTTTTGTTCCTTTTGTTTTGCTTTGTTTTTATATTCCACAAATAAGTGAAATCATATGATATTTGTGTTTCTCCACCTGGCTTATTTCACTGAGCATAATAGCCTCCAGGATCCATCCATGTTGTTGCAAATAGCAGGATTTCTTTTCTTTTTATGGCTGAGAGTCACATATATTAAGTCAACTAAGGCTAACTGTGAATCTGTCAGATCCATATTATTATCTCCTCTTCAAAATTAGGGTACTTGGCTTTAGGACATTCAGTGATTTGCAAAGAAAATAACTTTTTTAAGCATTTATTATGTATTAGGTTTGTCATGTTTAATATGGTCAAAAACAGAATTCCCGCTCTCCACTCCCAAACCTGTTCTTCCCTTAGTTTTCCCTGTTTGAGGAAATATATTATTTTCTGTCATCCCTAATTCTGTCTTTCTTTCACTCCCCACATTCCAACACATCAGTAGATCCTCTTGACTTGTATGAAGAAGAAAAGTTTTCCTCAACCCTCTTAGGGTCCCTGGCTGGGTCTGAAATTAAACTGACAAAGACAGATTATCAGGAGAAAAGCATATGAGGTTATTTAAATTTTACATGTCATGGGAGCCGTTAAGAGAAATGAAGACCCAAAGAAACAGTTAAGGAGGTGGAGCCAACGTGGCGGCATGAGTAGGACAGTGGGAATCTCCTCCCAAAAACATACATATATTTTTGAAAATACAACAAATACAACTATCTCTAAAAGAGAGATCAGAAGATACAGGAAAACAGCCAGACTACATCCACACCTGCGAGAACCCAGCGCCTCATGAAGGGGGTAAGATACAAGCCGTGGTCTGGCGGGACCCGAGCGCCCCTTACCCCAGCTCCAGGGGAGAGGAGAGGAGTCGGAGCAGGGAGGGAGAGGGAGCCCAGGACTGCTAAATGGCCAGTCCGAGCCATCCACACCGAGCACAGACACACAGTGCATGCATGGGGTGCTGGAAACTAGGGAAACAGGACAGTAAGACCTGTGAGTGGGTCCCCACAGCTGGCGCCCCTGGGACAAAGAAAAGCGAGTGCTTTTTGAAAGTCTTAAAGGG